ATGAACAATCGGACGTCCCAAAGTAAAAACTGTCAGGGGGACCTCCTAACGAAAAGTAAAAAGAGGATTAGCTTTTTAGTCAGCCAACAGCGACGAAATCACAGCAATATTTAAATGAATATCATGCAAACACGTAGGGCCCTATGAGCAATAGTGAGAATTTGCTTCAAACTAAGAAACCTAAAAAACATAGAAGTCATAAGTCATTTAACAATAAGACCTTCAAGCACTTCCTAAGGGGGTACATTGAGCATGATTTGAGATCAACAGGCAGCATGTTCCACAGGTTATGCATGAAAATATTGCTGTCATTTGACCATAGTTGGTACGTAATTTAGGTAGAAGTAGATCACGGTTAGCTGAAAACCTCGTGTTGTTAGTATTTACAAGAGTAACTCCCGAGAAACGGAAAATGTAGAATTCATTATTAAGGATACCAAACATGATCATTAGAATTTTGTAGCTGAAGAGTTTATGCAGAGGTAAAATGTTCATGTTGCTAAAAAGGGGGGCTGGTAGTGATGAAAATGGTTTGAAAGTAATAAGTCTCAAAGCTTGCTTCTGTATTCGTTCTAGATGATTTACATGTGACCAGTATGTATTTCCCCATGATGATACACAGTATGACAGGTGATTATGAATGAATGCGTAATATAAAGATAAAAGAATTTTAGTAGAGAAGTAAGGTCGTGTTTTGATGATCACGTGAATACCGAAAGACATCTTTTGAATTAAGGCCTGCGCATGCTCGCTGAATTTCAAATGTTTATCTAATACCACACCATGAATTTTGTAGATGAACATGCATGAATGAAGTATCCCAACTTCAGCTCATCTTGCTGCACACCATTTCCTGCTCAAAGAGAACTGCAGGTGCAAAAGTATGGTGATGAATCGATACTTGGAGCAAACACAGATAACGCGTACTTTCTGAACCGTGCCGCAGCAACAAACGCTGTAACTGGAAGAAGAGGGATAACTGAACTTGTCCAAGAACTTTCGTCGGAGACTCTGCAACTTCATTAAGTGAAATTTTTTTGAGTCTGGCAACCAAATTAATCACAAGAATCGCGAATGATAAGGAACAAGTAATCGCTGTAATTTTAGAATATCCGAATTTGATGAAGCAGTTAGTGCCAAACACAACGACACTGAATCTGTAGCTATAGCCACAAAAGTTATAGTTAAAAACTTAACGAAGGGCTAATATAACAGCTAACAACTCAGCCAAAAATATTCGGGTGTAATGAGGAAGCCTAACAGAAAACAACCAGTCTAGTTGTGTAGAATAAATTCCCACCCCGGCCTTTTATTCACACTGTGAAGCATCAGTTGCTATCACATCCATAGAATCAATTTGATTTGTGCTCTTGAAAAGTGCCATTCAGAAGAATACTAGGTAGTAATTTCGTATGGTTGGAGAATATATTGTCATAAGATATGGCTAATTCACTGAACCTGCTACTCATAGGCACTATATCAATAAGACCTACATACAATGGGTCCAGCAGCTTCTAGGTAATGATTACCTGAGGGTTATGAAAGCGATGCCATGTGATAATAAAAATAGAGCTGAATAACTGATAAATATATAATATTCTTGTCTTATTGGCGAGTTATAGACTCTTAAGAACGTTTGAATTGTTAATAACTTAAATCTAACGCGTAAAGATGGAATTCTTGATTCCTTATTTAGAACAGTTTCCTACCAATCGGAGTAACCCCAGGCCCCAGCGAAGTGCTTGGCACTCACTTAGAAGTAACGGACGTATCTTCCATGCTGGTATGCCAGAAAATAAGGCACACCCAAACTCCAGTATAAGGCGTATGTACATCCGGCAAATCATTATTAAGGTGTCAGTCCACATCCCCCATCGACTGTTACTAATCCTTCTGAGTAGGCATAACGAACGTGACGCTTTCATCACTATGTTCAACATGCATCCGCCAGTGGGCTTTCCATCATAGGTAATACCGAGGTACTTCATCGTTTGCACTTGGGAAATATCTGATTGGTGGAATGAGAGTGATATATTTTTATTGTCTTGCGGAAGAACGCTAGAACTGCACATTTCTGTACATTAGGATTCAGACAAATGCTGTCTAAGCAAGTTTCCAAATCAGATAGGTATACTTTTAAAAGGTACTAAGTGATAGAATGTCATCCGCAGATGCAAAGAATGCTACGTCATCCACGTAGACATACGTGTTCACTCTTTGATGACGAGGAATGGAGCTAAGCAAGATAATAAATAGTAGCGGGGACAAAACCACTTCTTGGGGAACATCTCATGTCTGTCTGAATTTCTTTGTTGATATCCCACCCTGTACACAGTAAAACTTCCTAACTCACTGTCCAGCACGAACTCAGTCACCCACGCAACAAAAAAGTCAGACAAGTCGATCTCTCTCATTCTTCTTACTAAAATTGGATGTTGGACATTATCGTAGGCTTTAGAGATATAAAGTGGTACTAATGCTGCATACTGTTTCTGTCGCCGTGCTAGCTAGATTCTGCTCTCCAAATCGACACGAGCACAGCACACAGACATTGCTGTTCTAAAACCAATTTGACAGGGACCTAATAATTTATCCACAGTCTTACATTTAGTTATCTGAGCTTGTAAAAGTCTCCTTATCAATTTTTCAAATTTGATGTTAACAAAATCGGTTGAATGTTGACTAAAGTAAGTCTCTTGTTCTTATCTTAAACCGAGGTATCACTTTAGCTACTTTCCACACAGAAGGAATCCAAGAGTGTTTTACAGAATAGTATGCGGTATACAATAACCCATTCGAATCAACATCCAAGAAGATTTTCAGTATCTTTGTAGTGATACCAAGAGGGCCTGGTGCTGCCACTGGTAAACATTCTACAACTGACGAGAGGACCGACAATAATATATCTTCCGTTTTTTGAGAGTGCATGTCTTGCCTCACAAGCAGTGAGTGAATGCAGGTAAAGAATCTAGCCTCCAAACCTCTGGCACTTGCACCTAGTGAATCGTCTATTTCCTGGGTAGTATGCACTATTGATTCTGCATTTAAGGACATGAAATTATTTTGATCGTTTGAGATACCAGAACAGTGCACTTTTATTGTTTATATTGAAAAAAACTCAAAATGACGAAGATTATAGTCTTCTTTTGCTAGCGCGACAGTACGCTTGAAACTCGCTGCAATAAACTTGTAGTTGTTTCAGTTAATGGGAGACTGGTTATGCATGAGTTGCTTCCACGCTGCTTTTTTTGGTTTGTAGTCCCTCGTGAGGTCGTAATTCCACCAAATTGATATTAGCTGTAGGGGCTTTCCTTCCTTGTATCTTTAACTCCACCTCTTACGAGCAGAGGCAAGAATATACAAACATTACCTGCGCTGCTTGGACATTCAGCATAGTTGTGAAATTGCCATTCAGCAAAGTTGTGAAATTTTAAAAATTGCAAGTTCAATTTAAAGCTATTGTGATCAATGAACGAACGAACGAGACACTGTGCATTACACTGTGAACCATGGATCTCCAATATCGCGGGAATGTGGTCGCAAATTGAACCTGTGTCAACAGTCTCCCAGGACAACACCGAAAAACCTGGACCGGAAAACGTAAGATCTAGCACTGATCGGGACTGGCCTCGTAAAAATGTTATGATCC